ATAAGGTGACAAGTCAAGTTTGACAAATTGTACCATTGTAGATATGGTATGGTAATTAATCCAGTGCAATAAATAAGTTTGTTGATTTGGAGACAGACTGGTTGGGACTTCAGTGCTGAGAATTAAATTTAGTGTCATTTCAATATTTTCCCCACAAAGATTTCCCATGTTCTTTACATTCTTCAATCAGAGCTTACAGGAAAACCCAGCTGATTAACAATGATATATTCCTTGCTTTTAATTGTAATCAGAAAATTGAGATAGTTTAGAACTTAGCCCTGTTCAAAACAGAAATTAAAGATATCTTTTAATTCCTTATATTCAGACAATTGGTGCAGCTTTAACGATTCTTTCCGTTCCAAAGGCTCAATATCAACAGAACATATAGCCAGTTCAAGGTTAATCCTTTTACTCAGATTTGCCTCCTCCCCCATACATTTCTAAGCTGTAGTGTTGTTCTGTATACCTCTGGTATCTATTCCAGTATTAATGTTTAGATGATTGGTCCTTCAAGTAACTTGTTGGGAGATATTGTCAATGTAAGTAGAAGCAAAAATGAGAATTCTCAACTTCAAGAAAGCCGAAACATCCTGAAGTTGGTTGTCACCTATTTTTGGGCAATTCTGGAAACCATTTCTCCTACCAACAAAACACCTTCCATTCTTTAGTTAGTTTAATTGCAGAAACCCCATTATGATAAGCTGGAAACTGCAAAGAAGCATTCTGTGCAGGTAGGATTTTCATGGTTTTATTCAATTTGACATGGGGACCTCAATCTAGTTTATGTCTGATAATATTCACATTGAAAAGGTAATAATTGTCACAGAATATCAAACAATAATAGAGCTGCTGATCGAGATAAAATGGCGTATGTAATAAGGCAGTACTTCATGGATATTACTCTGACATTTAAAACTAAGGTTCCGCACAGTTAAGTAATTACTAAAGTTAGATCTTATGGGATTCAGGGTGAACTTGCCAATTGGATACAATGTTGGCTTGATGGTAGGAGAGAGGGTGGTGGTGGTGGAGGGTTGTTTTTCAGATTGGAGGCCTGTGACCATTGGTGTTCCACGGGAATCAGTACTGGGTCTTTTGTCATTTACTGGTTTCTTTGTCATTTATATAAATGATTTGGATGAGAATATAGGAGACAGAGTAAGTATGCAGATGACACCAAAATTGGCAGTATAGTGCACAGTTAAGGAGGTTGTGTAAGATTACAAAGAGATCTTGATCAATTGGGTCAATGGGCTGAAGAAGGGCAGGAGGAGTTTAATTTGGATAATGTGAGGTATTGCATTTTGGTAGTAGAAACAAGGACAGGACTTATTCAATTAATGGTAGGGCCCTGGTTAGTGTTGTAGAACAGAGAGACCTAGGGGTTCAGGTACATTTTTTTTGAAATTTGCATCACAGGCAGACAGGATGGTTAAGAAGGTATTTAGCCTTCATTGCTCAGACCTTTTGAGCACAGGAGTTGGAATGTTATGTTGAGATTGTACAGGACATTAATAAGGCCTCTCCTGGAGTAGTGTGTGCAGTTGTGGTCACCCTGTTATAGGAAGGATATTATTAAACTGGAGTAGGTTCAGAAAAGATTTACAAGGATGTTGCTGGGAATGGAGGGTTTGAGATATGAAAATAGACTGGAAAGACTAGGACATTTTCCCACTGGAGCAAGTTGAAGGTGACCTTATTGAGGTTTATAAAATCATAAGGGACAGAGATAAAGTGAATGACAAGGGTCTTTTCCCTAGGGTGGGGGAGTTCAAAAACTAGGGGCATATTTTTAAGAGGAGAAAGATTTGAAAAGGACATGAAGAGCCATTTTTGTTTTTACAGTGTGGTTTGTGTGTGGAAATGAACTATCAGTGAAACTGGTGGATGTGGGTACAGTTGCAACATTTAAAAGACATTTGGATAACTTCATGAATAGAAAATGTTTGGGGAGATATGAGTCAAGCGTAGGCAGTTGGGACTAGTTTAGTTTGGAACATAGTTGGCGTGGACTGGTTGTACCAAAGGGTGTTTCCATGCTGTATGACTCTAAATTCATTAGAATAGCATCTAAAACACAGCCTCTGTGCAAAGGAGTTACACTTTTTTTTTGCCCTCAATTTCTTTCACGTGGCAGGCAAAAGGTGTACACGATCACCCCAGGCCAGAAACAAAGACAGAAGCTGAAGCGAGGAGATCAATCCACAAGAAAAGACCATATGGTGAAAATGGATGCTATAAAAATAAAAGAGACCTACAGGTATGATGTAATGTTGCAGTTACAGTCCTATACAAGTGGTGCTGAAACAGAGGAGGATGTATAATTAGGGCATCTTGATGCTAACACATGAGCAAAATAAATATTACCAACTTTGTTTCACAGGTGAAGATGTTGTGATTGAGTTAACCTCACCCAAAGTAGTTACTTGCTGTTATAGAACAGATTGATGTCATTGACTTGGTAGTCTTCTGTAGTGGTTTAACCATGAGGTCAGTCAAAATATTTAATGGACAGAAAGGAAAGCACTAGTCCAATCCTAAATATTTTCAGAGCAATATTTATACATTAAAATTTATCCTAAATCAAAAGGACTTGGGTATATAAAAGTGGTAAGATTTTACTGGTCTACTCCTAAAATACAATTGACAATGGAAATGGATCAGCAGGTGGTGCATTTGAAGCATCAAATACCAAACAACCCAATATTGAGATCTTAATTCCACAAGTTCTGACACTGAAATAACATGCGGTGGTTATCCTATGCACATTGTTTGGACTGCCCTATAATCAGTGATGACCTGCTTCCACTTTTTCATGCTTTTGTGACCTCCAAACTTAACTGTTCTAATTCTCTTCTGGGCATCCTCTCATAGCCTAGCCTTCATAAGCTTTAATGTAATCAAAGCTTTGCTGTCTATAAGCTTTCATACAGTTGCTCATTGACGAATCCTGACTGACAAATCTGTCAATGCCTCAAATTTAATCTCCAAGGGCTTCTCACATTTTCTTAGCAACCTTCTGCAGCCTAACACCCATGAACTGTGGCTTTTTACACACACCTCACACTTCTTATCCCCCCTCAAAACTACCACTAGCTTCCCAGACTCTGCAAATTCCTCCTGTAACCTTTCTTTTCGCTACCTTACTCTCCTTTAAAACCCTTCTTAAAAATCTAACTTTTATAGCAGGTTCTTCCATTGCCCCTCGTAATATCTTTATCATTCATTGACTCAATTTAGAAAGTTCTCTCATATCAAAGTAGTGTATAAATGCAAGTTGTTCAAAAAATCACATTAAACTGTTACTTAATAAACATTTGTTTGCTCAGCTTTTAACAGGTCCAATTGAAAACGAAGGATCTCAGCCAACATTTACTTCGAATCCAAAAAGTGTGTTGTCCAATCTCTACGTAAATGGAAACCTGGAAGAATGTGTAGCAGTTGAGAACATCTCTGGTACTCCATGCTTCTCATATACAAATGGGCATGACCTCGGAAAGCCCACCTATCTTTATGATCCACACTGCGAAATGGATATCAGCAGAATCTATAGCAGATGTGCACAATTTAGTGCAGGGTGCCATAATCCTGGGAATTATGGTGGCCCCGTTACAAACTGCAGTACAAATTTTGAGTGTGGAGATTACCCCAACTGGAACAAAATTACTTTGGGAAAGAATGCTTACAGCAACTCTTTTATTAGATATTCTCAAGGTTCTTCAGATCCTTGTAATGAAACTGCCAGTCCTAAGAACTTTAGAGACCCAATGCAGAATGCACAAACTACAATAAACAGCATGAACAAGACCATGTACCAGACCTCCAAGCCCAACCCGGATGAATATTGTGATTATCTATATGATGCTATGTTCCTGCAAAATCAGAATAGCACCTATGTTCCTGCTGCTATTTATCCACTTTAGAGTTTCCCCACATGCAATCACCCATAACTGCTGTGGTAATGTGAAGGGCAGAAACATAGAATTCTATCAATAATAAGAATCAACTTTTTTTTTTTTAAGTCTTAACTAAACCACCTATGAACTGGAAGATATTTAACATTCCAACTGGAAGTTTTTAAAACATCAATTCAAACATAACATGCACTTATTATTTAAAGAAAAACAAAAAAAGAAAAACTTCATCGGTTCAAATCATGCTGAAATTTCTTCTCTAGAATTTACTGTAAATACTGGGTGAATTTATATCAGCCTAAATGAAAGACTATTAAAAATAGTGATGCAAATCCGGCAGCATGATTGCAATGAACAAACAATAACTAAGGTTATCATTCTTGCTGATACCCTGTATGACATTCTGCAGCACGTTCTGAGACATATTCGCCATGTCATAATGAAATGTAGTACAATAAATATCATACTCATTTAATTCATTGATGTACATAAATTGCAGCTCACTCATCCACATGTGAAAATAAATGGCCGACAGATGTCATTTTCAAAAAGGATGTTTAGCACAATGGATTAATGGTTGTAAAACATTTATTGCTTTTCAGATGTTACCTTAAGATTAATTTTAAATACCAGATTGTCTCATGTAGAAAACACAAAATCAAGTACATTGTACATATCAAGTGTACATAACAATGCCTATGTGAATGTTGAGTGTAGGTACCCAATTACACTGAGAAAACAGTGTTGCCAGAATCTGAAAGGTTGCGCTATGGGGGATTTCTTTACTAAGGTCACAAGTGCTCTTATTATATTTGACCCATGTCATATGTCATACAGGGATAATTTTTGATTGCCAGAGACAGCAAAAAAAATCATTCTTTTAAACTTTCTACTTCAACAGGAGGGAGATATAATCATTTTTTTTTAGAAAATTTCACCTGTGTGCCTTTTTTGATTATAAGTACTTTGCTTTGTGCAGTTTTATTACAATGCTTCATTTTAAATTTATAATGTATAATATGGAAATGCTGTCAAATCTTAGTACCAGCCTGAAGATAGTGTCGTATAGTTGTGACGTCATTAAAAATACCTACATGGAATAAAACTATATGCATTGTGTTAATATTTGAATACCATCAAATAAAGCTAAACATAAAAATATATTATGAATGTCCTGATGAGTTCAACTTTAGTTAGGAAGTACGAGTTTGGTTTAACATTTAGTTTGTTGTCCCAAATTGCCATTTGTTTTAATTTAATGAAGTAGTCAAGGATCCTGCAATCAAGTGTGAGGCGTGGGTCATGGGGCACTTGTGTGCATTTAATCAAAACTGTATGTCTAAAAATGTTGTTGTGACATGCTTATTAAATAGCATAATAACAAGCTCTTCTTGCAAGAGTTGACCATGTACTAAACTTACACCACATAATTCATCAGAAGTGCAGTAACATTAATTCTGCAGAGATTTTCTTGATCCCTAATTGTCTCAATGTTGGGGTTAAGATTTTGTCAAGCTGAATGTGTATGGGAGTCAAAGGCAAGCTTGACATTCTGTGTACTGTGAACAAGACAATGAAACATCTTAATGCAGCACTACATCAGTTATATTCTAAGATCTTAATGAGTTTTTCAGACATGAAATATCTGGGCTTTCAGGAATGTGCACAGAACCCTGCTTCAGTAACTTCTTTCCAGGAGGTCAAATGATTATCTCAGCAGGTCTGGCGGCACCTGTGAAGGAAAAAACAGAGTTAAACATTAACTCTGTTTTTTCCTTCACAGATGCTGCCAGACCTGTTGAGCTTTTCCAGCAACTTTGTTTTTGTTCCGGATTTACAGCATCTACAGTTCTTTTATTTGGTCAAATGAGTATGCCCAGGTTAAGTCATTTAGTTCTGCAAACTAATCTTACAATAATAGTATGAGGTTCTGTTGTGGTGGCTATGTGAAGTTTCATGTTTTAAAAGAAATTGTTCAAGGGATGTGGCTAAGCCAGCATTTATTGCTATCTCTGATTGTCCAAAGTGCAGTTAAGAATCAACCACATTGCTGAAGGTCTGGAGTCACACGGAAGCCAGACCAGGTAAGGCTGGCAATTTCTTTCCTTAAAGAACATTAGTAAACCAGGTAGGTTTTTACAACAATTGGTAGTGGTTACATAATCACCATGCGGCTAGCTCTAAGTTCACATGTTCAAATTTATGGCTGGTACAAAGATAAGGGAGGAGCAGCCATATCCGTCATTAGTCGGAAAAAAGCATTCACTTAAGGACTGAAATTTGGCTGGCCTTACACTAAAGTGACAGCATTTGACAGTTTTAAGGATCAGTAGTGTGCACCTGTGCTACTGAAAAACTCTTCAATCAAAGCTTGCAGGGCTACAAAATAAACTTGAACAAAAACTGAATCATAAATGGGGAAAAAATCACAAACTCCTTCCTCATAAAGAGGTATTGTTGATATTCTGAATACATAAATAGGAATCATGAAATCTACCATGATGCAAAATCCTTAAAAGGCTTAGGCTTGTGAATTGTTTCATGAGATTGAGCTCATCCAATAAAAAGTGACAGAAATCAGCTAACAAAAACTGATTTTGGATATTGCATTGTAAGAAAAACTGACAAGTTGATTGCCCAAGATTGTGTATGATATTTAAAAGGCCACAAGCTTAGTAGTGTAGTGACATCATTCAATAAAAAAAACAGCAAGGCCAATTGAAAGAAAACATTTATTTTCTTGGTATCCAAACATAATTTCAATTTAAGTAAATAATGAAAAAAATCTCTCAATCCATTAAAGCCTTGAAGTCAGAAGACATGAAAAGACAATGACTGTTGTCCAGCAGAGTCCCAGATAACATGAACGATTCCATTTGTAATAAAAATGACAGTTCACTGACAGTTACATTCTCATAACCCAGTGTAAAAATTCTGACAGTACCAATATATTGGTAGTAAAATTGAAACAATGCCGAAGTTAACAGCCTCAAGATTTCTATTTAAACCCCCAAGCCTAATTATAGATTATTTAACTTTCTTTATGCATATCGCAAACAAATCAATCTGTGATCCAACACACTGAAACTTTGAGATTTCAGACTTTATTTTTGCAACACTCTCCTTTAAAAAATAATGCACTGATTCAGCAATATCCTATACAAACTCAGAAAGCAGTTTCCTCTTTGTAGAGTTAATGCCATACCACTCATGCAAAAGGTAGAAGATCAAAGTGCTTTGCCATGAGCCTAAACCTAAATTGACAGGTTGGATCAAATTAAAGAGGGGTTTCAGCAAATGCTGTAAAGCTCTTCACACGAGCAAAGAACAAAGGTGTGTACATTTTATCAATATCAAATGTGGTAACAGCAGTCTCACCAGTTGACCTAAGAAATAACATAAAAAATTAGACATATTTTGCAAATTCTGCATAAAAGTAGAATATTTTTATAATTTGGTATATTTAGAGGTAGAAGTGAAGGGTCGAAGTAATGGATGGGCTGAAGGTTGATGGAAAGGTGGTACTGGCTGGTCATGTTTAGAACAGATAAACTGCCTGATCTGGATGGATCCAATCTTTACATGAGGAAGGAGTAGCGATAGTGGAAGGGGCTGCCACAATCTTCCCTTGACATGGACAGCATGCCAGATTACTGGAGAATATCAAAGTTTCTATCAATTTTCAGTCCATCCATTACTTTGACCATCTTCACTTCTACCTCGTCCTTAACAAATATTGATGCAAACTATTCAAGTATTTTAGCATTACCTTGCACCTCCTAAGCATAAATGACGTTTTTTTTATCCCTAATAAGCCCAATCTGCCTATTACTACCTCTTAATTACACTAGTAGAAGACTTTAGAGATCTTTTTACGTCACCTGTCTCAGTATTCTCACATTCTCTCTTTACCAGTCATATTTTCCTGATTATTTCCCCTTTCAACTTCATGTGTTTTTCCCAGTTCTCACTTTAAGCATTCATACATGATAGCCACTCTTTTGTTTCTCCACATTTTTTCATGAGGCTGTAATTTTGGTTCCTTTGCCATTTGCTCTTGTTGGAATGTAACTGGTCTGTAGTTAAACCATTTCCTCCTTTAAAAATTAGCTCAACTGTTGTTTCATTATGGTTTTTTCTGTTAGTCTTTGATTCCATTCTGCTCAGCTAGATCTGCTATCATTCCACTGAAGTTAGTCTTCTGCTAATTTAGAGGTTCTACTACTTGAGACTTTTTCTTACTCTTCTCCATTATTAATGAAGAATATCAAGTATGACAATAAAGTATTCAAGGAAATATGTAAGGGCATCCTGTAGGCCAGTCAGTTTAATATTAGTGCTGGGTAAGGTTTTAAAACAATAATTGGGCAAAACAAAACCAAAAAACACTTGGAGAAGTTTGAGATAATTAAAGAGAGACAGCATTGATATATAAAAGGCAGATGGTACTCGTCTAATCTATTTGAAGTTTTTGATTAAGTTACAAAGAAAGTCAATGATGATAATGCAAAGGATGTTGGTTAGATGTGAAATGCTATCTTAGCATCCAACGTCACAAAATAAAAGGCTGGTTAATAAAACCAAGGCCCATGGAATAGGGGGTTTGGTGTCAGCTTGGAAGAAGAAAGTTCAATGACAGAAAATAGCAAATTGTGGAAAATAGTTGGTTTCAGAATGCAGCATGGAACACAGCCATATTCCCAAAGGATTAGTGCTGGGACCACAGCTTTTATTTCGACTGGAACAAAGAATAATTTTTCAAAATTTGACAATGGTGCCAAACTTGATGGTTTAGGTAAGCTAGACAATGAAAAGCCACTTCTACTAGCTGATGGTATAAGGATTAGGAGATACAGGTTTTAAGGCTTTGGTATGAGATGCAAGGGAGATTTGAGGAAGATCAGTTTTTAGCTGCAAAGGTAATGACCTGGAACTCGCTGCTCATAGGGAGACAGAAGTGAGGACAGTGAATGATTTCAAAAACATAATGGGTGGGCAATTGAGGGAACGTGCAGGACTGTGGGGATGAAGTAGGAAAATAGGACTGGCTATATTGTTCTACAGGGACCCAGCATTATGGACTCAATGTTCGAATGCTTCTTAATGACTCAATGAGAAACCAAGGGACAGCACAGTTGAAGTAATAATCCCTTCAATGCAGAGGATTTGAAATTGTCCTCTGTTTTA